TACATTGGGTGTAAGTACTGTTAAAATCCGTGCTGCGTTACGTCCTGCATAACAACACTGGCGAATTCACAACTGTGTTTACTAACGCCACTTCCCTGCACCCTTACTAACACTCGAAAAAAACGCTTTGCATCGAGGCATCACAAGCTTGTAGGAGTCCTCCGAATGACAGGCAGAAGACACGAATCAATAACATTTCCAAAACACGCAGCTTCTATCTTACGTGTTTATTTCTCGCAGCGCTTGTGTACACCGACCGATGCGCACCACTTTATTACGCGCTATAACGTCAGCGAAAAACGCACGAGTCTATTTGTAGACGCACCTCTCTCCAACTCCATTCTATTCCGTATCACGCTTGAGATGTCGTTTTGAAAATCATGTGCCTCCATCCTTGTTTTCCTCGTCCCTCGCATTCGTGCAAGACTCGGCAGCGATGCTCGAGGAGTTTCTGGGGGGTAGTCTGAGCGGTAGCAACATCGCAACGTCGACCTTGCCGGTGCTGCCGCTGCCTCCCACTGCGGGCGCTCGGCGGCGCGTGCAGCCGGCCGGGCCTTCTCTCCCCAAGCCGCTTGGAGGCGCGCGCGCGCCCCGTGACTGCGTGCAAGGCCAGCTCGGGCGCTAAAGATAGCGGCAGGTTGTGTGCGCCCTTCGCTCTGGGAGCGGACGCTGGCGTTCAGCCCCCTTGATATAAATGCTACCTATACGTGCGTCTTTTTTCAAGATCCCTGCGACTGTTCGTGTTCTCGTTCATTTGTCCCGAACACAGCAATTACCCCCGCCTCCGATCTCTCTGCCAATGTAGTGGTTGGGATTATTCTCCGACAAATTTACTAGAACACGTGTTTTCGGTGTTCGTTGTTTAATAATTTGGGCTGGTATGTTTTTTCTGTGCATGTATTTGGGTGCATATTAATAAATTTGCCCAGTATCCTACTCTATCTATTAAGCTTATTCGTACTAAATAGACGCGAAGGCCTCTTCATACCTGGCACACAAGTTCTGTGACGTAAGGAATCACGCGTACCTTTCCTTACGGCGGCGGGCGAATGGGCAGACGTCTTGTTTACTTCTTTTCTTGTTTTTTTGCAACTATGTGATGAAAGGACTGCAATTTCACATGTGGGTGTTCTGTTGTAAGTAAAACTCGTATCTTCTACTTGGAAGGATTTTCGAAACCTTTTCCCCAGAGTTGGGTAATTCTTTTTAATTAATTAAAAAACATTATTAAAAGATTGTCTTTCTGATTTTGACGCTGTTGGTTTATATTAGACTAGGCGCGTTTTCGACCTGTTTAGACCGTTTTAGATCCTCGACCATGCTTTCCAGTTTTGATCCTTTTAGTGTGCGTTTGTTTCTTTGTCTCGGACTGATGCAGTCACAGTGTGTCGCGAACGTTTTTTTTTTTTTTAGGCAAATTGAAATAATCCTGTGTTTGAAAGATAGTTTGTCTTCAAAAATATTCAAGAATATCATTCTTATAAACATTATTTTAGTTTAATGTCTTGCAATTTTGTGGCTTAGGCCATGGGGACTTGGCGAATTCTTACTACATGGTCGTTCATTTTAGGCCGTTGCTGTAAGTAGAAAAAAATCGTATCAGCCACGTGAATCAGCTTTTTAGACGTTTTGTTTTTTGTTAGTTCCTTGAAGGTGGTGGCGGTGATGGCCAATTGGGGCTGCTTGCCTTGAAGTCATCCTTGGCGGGCGACATTGCTTAAGTTTGTAAGCTATACCAAGTGACATCGCGCTTGCAAGCTCCTTAGTGTCTCTCGGCCATCCTATGCTTGGGGCAGTTTGATTTCGGGGTGCGGAACACGGCCTTTCTTGAATGTCTAATAAATGCATTAAATTTACGTTTTTACTCGTACTTTGTGGAGAAACTGATGGAAAAGTTTCGGTTAATCTTTCTGGGTTTTCTGCTAAGCGTTCAACGGTTAAAAGCGGTCGCCAAGAGACCTTCGCGCCTTTGGCCAAATGCGAGTTTTAAGAAACTGCCTGAGAGAACCTGGACTAGCGTGAGAAAACGTGGGGCAGCAGTTTCCCTTCGTTTCGTGACCAAATGTAGATCTCAATCAACTTTTCGTTCTTTCATTGCAAATTTTAGAAATGTGCATGCACTTCTCTAAATTTCAAATGTTGCCTTCCAGAATTTCTTTTAAATTGTTTCTTGCATATTAACAATTTTGAGACATGCATTTTGGTTATATATACTTTCAATTACCCAAATGTGCGGATTGTATGGATAGAATGAGTGCTGTTATGGACATACCTAGGATCTGAAATTATTAAAAAAAACAAAACACTTTACATTCTTTCTTCAGGTCTGGAGTTCCGTTCTATATAGGTCTGGCGTTCCACGAAACGTTAATTTTAATTCAAATGATTTGTGACATTAGTGGTTTCGATTCGCCCATTATCTTCACGAGAAAGTAAGCTTTCATGTTTGTTTTTTGATCGAAATAGTTATGGGAAACTTTTTCGCAACTTGCCTTACAAAGTCCAAACCCGCGGCGATAGGATACATCTGCAAGAGGGCAGGTCGTGGCAAGGTTCGCAAGTGCGGAACCGAGTCCGGCTGTTCGAGCGCTCGATTTCCCGGAAACGATCTCGGCGCGTTATCGAGCGGATGGTGTTCGGAGGCGTCGCCGCCGCTTGTTACCAGCAAGAAAGTGCGCGAGACGCTGAACGGCGCCAGGCGCGGGGCTCGTCGCGAGACTCGCGCCCTACTAACGCACGCACGCCCCGGCTCCATGCCTGCTATGGCGCGGAAGGGGCAATTGCTTACTCCTCACTTTCGCCTCCTGCTGGAGGTACGTATCTCAAAACGATAACCACGCAGTCGAAAACAACGACGCTGATAAGAGAAGCCCGTTCTGATAATATCTCCTGAAGATACCAACGGAACATGTTAACGTCTGCCTCGAGGTCTCGGAGAAGCTGTTAAGGTAGTGTAGTATTCGTGCCAGTCGCTAGTCTGTAAATTAACAATCGCTGCTTGTAAATGTGAATGGAGCATATATATATATATATTATTATTATAATATATATATATATATATATCTATATATATATATAGAGTAAATACTAAGTGTCCGTAAATGTACGGTAAACTGTTTACGTAGCAATACGTAAGGTTATTATCGGAAATTTTATGTGTGTAATACTCTCTATGTTTGCACTAGTTTTCATTCCTCGCTACAAAATAGCTGTAAGCATAACGTAATCGGCGATGATTTAGACCATTCTTACTCATATTGCACCGCGAAGACTCCGAAAGCTGTGCGCTAAGTACGAGAAAGTCTCGTGTTGCAATACGAATACAAGTTTTCCCAGCGCTGTAGGCCGTGGCGCGGCTGCAGAGCCATGTCGCTGCTCCCGTCGCCCCGTGCAACGCATGTTTTGCGCGGCAAGGCGAGCGCCTGTCGCGGCTGCTTCCTGCTATTGTGCTTGAAGCCGCAGCTGCTGTGGTGAAGGCGCATTCCCTCCAGCCTTCGCGCGCCTCCAACTGCGTCTCGCCCATCAATCTCTAGTGTCGCCGCGACGCGCGATATTGATTATACTTACGTAGGCATAAATAAAATAGTCAATTAGTTACTTCGACATCACGTTTTGTTTTGAAATACGAACTAATGTCTCCCATGACTCATTTGAAACTAAATAAACAAAAATTACGCAATGTTCTTTCCGCATTTTTATTTTTGTTGTTTCAGTCAGGAAAAATCGAATCTTGAAATATTATTTTATTCCTAATAACATGTACTAACGATCAAATTCAATCACGTACACACTGATAGGTGGTTCCGCTCACAACCGCGGTAGTGGACTGCATACTTGGTCACACACTCATAAAAAAAATTGGCAAGTTCCAGACTAGCATCGTAACGCCGTGCTGTTTCTTTGTAGACTGACCAAAGAAACACTGTTTTCAATGTTCCGAAAAATTATAGGAGTCTTCGGACCAAGACACGAGGTTTTTGTAAAATTGTCGGACTGTTCGTCAGTTGTCGAAGATAATTATACAAGATAAGTGAAAAAAGTCAAGTGAATAGCATGATACTAAATTTTTGAAACCAGAACCCGAACTAAAAATATGAAATGTCGTTATAATCACGTTTGAGGGAATAGATATGCTCAGAGCACGTTGGAATGGAAGAAAGTGAAGCCAGTAAATGTGCTGGTTTACTAATGGTTCGCCGTTAGAATTCGTAATCATGCGGTGTCAGCTCTTGAGAAATTGTTTGTTTACCCATGCAGCATGATGCTGTTGTCTGTGGACTGTCATTGGGGATGTAGAAGCAGTGACCAACTTCCAGGATAGATAGGAACAGATAGCAAATAATATTGTTAGGAAATTTATCTCCTTGACAAATTATTTTTCAAGGATCATTGCTCTACCAGATTTTTCGTACATTTGAATAATTATCGCGTGGAACAACAAAGTGAAATCAAATGAGCTTTGAACAAGAGGTTTTGTCAACCAACTTGCGCAGAAAATTATACATTTGTTGTTTAGGTGCTTTGAATTGAATGAAGTTTTGATTTTAAAATAATTTGATTTTATTAAAGGAGTAGCATGGCCTCTCATTTGCTTTAGCCGAGGGTGGATTGTGTTACCTCAAACCTTGGTATACATCAAATGAAGGTTCACGCAAGTCCATGGGACGTCAGAATGTTGTCCATGAGGGCACAGGAAAGCAGATGGCATTTGAAAAACCCGAGCAACTCATTACGGTACACGGAACTTGGCGCCTACATCCTTAATGTTGGTTAGCACTCACCATTTTATCACTACGTTTGATAGTAGCTTTTTCTTAAGTACCCAACAATCACCGTTCCTTGTAATTATCACAACTATAGTTCAAAGGATAACGATTATTCGCTCTGCTGCAATTGGTTTCTCTGCTTTATGAAATTTCTCTTCGAATGACGTGGTTAGGCTGACCCCAACCAGCTTCATCTCTTCTTCGCTTCTGGCGAGCTTCGCTGCGGGCGATGATTCAAGTGTGAGGGGCGATGCCCGTCACCAGCGCGTCCTCTCTCCTTGCTTCTCTTGCACGACATGGGCCTCCCGTGGTGCCCGTTGCTGCAAATAGATCGGACTCCCGAAATATCCCGACAACTTGTCGCTGTCCTGCAAGTAATACCTGCGCGGGGAAGGGCCGGCAACGGTACTCGCCAGGTGCTACAATGGAAACCGGTCGCATAGCTCTGAGTCTGGCGCCTGCGCCTAAGCCTGCTGCCTGTGCACGCCTCGTTTACGTGCACTGTCCTTGACCAGAAGCCCATAGCAAAGAATTCCAGAATTGAATCGAAGTTAAAATGGGGTATTCCCTTTGAATTTTTACTTTCTTGTATACATACGTATATACGGAGTTATGCGCTCGCGAAACAACCTGTGGATTTTCGACAGAAAAAAATCATTACCGGGTCTTAGAACGAAAAAGTGAATAAATCCAGTTGCTAAATTAAGAAAAAAATTCTCTTAACACGTGGTGTAGCGAGCATCCCTGTTTTGAGAGTCCTCGATACTGAAAATCAATTGACAGCAAACCGTCCGTTTGTGAACTTTACTAGCACCTAAACCATGCGCAGGATTTTCCCAAAGTGAAGAAACCCTTGTCCATCAGAGTCGAAGCTTTGAGATTTTGAAAAACATTCTTTAAAATTTGAGGGTACTTTAAATGAAGCCCTCCGGACATTTTCGAAGTTTTCTCAAAAATACTCCAAATTGTTTCTTTAAATTTCTTGTACGGATAGGGTAAAATACACTTAAATGGCGACATAGGGCCGATTTTTTGCGGTGAACTCTGAATTTTCGAAAATTTCAAAAGTTTGATTTTTTCCGCGATCTCTACAACTACAAAATTAAAGATTAATTTTCTTTCATTAAGGTCATATACATATTTTGAAAATTTGAGTAGTTATCGCGCAATATTGCATGTCTTTTGTGCAATTTAAAAAATACAAAAAAATACAATAAAAAAATATTCTCCAAAACCGAGTTCCATATTTTTCTGTCTTATTGATCTTTATCGTCTATTATGTCTTGTTTGATCATGTCCAACCTATTGATTAATTTTTCATTGTATTTCTTCTTTTAGTTTCAAAGATTCGCATGGTAAACTTGCAAAGGTATGGATCAGATGTTTATGAGAAGCCTGTTCATGAGATCAGTGTGGTGTTCTACTCTTGTAGTTTTCCTTGCTAAAACACGTTCCTGAACTTCTGTTGTCCTTATTTCTTGCTTCCTGAAGCTCTCAGAAAATTGTCCAAACGGCAGAATGCAACTTTCAATTATGTCGCCTTCCATGGAAGAGAATCTTATGTAGATTGACGGCGCATGCTCGATACCAGTAAGTAATGTTGGAGGTACAAGTCTCGTGTGGAATTAATAATTTTTTTCACAAATTAATGTAAAGATTGAATTTTCCCCCACCTGTTTAGAGATATCTAATATGACACCCAAAACGCGCCTTATTATATCCCGATTTATTCCAGTTATTTCTTAAAATTTCAGGGTTTCGAAAAACTTGTTCGAGCCAGTATTTCCATTCATAAAGTATTGCCACTCTGCGCTTTAGGCATATCAACCTAGAGCCCTAACTTCTGCCTGAATTTATCCTTGATGCTTTTCTTCTCTTGTCTTCTTTATTCAGCTCCTCTTATCTGAGTTGTACGAATTGACGGTCTCTCAATTTGGCAACAAAAACGACGAAGTAATGGTGTGTTCGAAGTAACTGACTGGTAAGGATCTCTCAGCCGAGTATTTCTGTCACTTTCACATTTCAATTGGATAACACTAGTTTTTCCCACCTTTAAACCTGTAGAATGGATGGATATAATTTAACAATTTTTTCTCGCTTTATTTTTCGGATCGTGAAGTATTGCGACGTAGCAAGATGCGTAGCCCACCAGTTAATGCGAGAGCTTCCATACTGGAGAGAGTAAAAGTCTTTGATGCAACAGAATTGATGCGAACTTTTTAATATGTTTGTGCCTCTAATAGGAGAAGCAAGTGTAAGTTTTTACTATATTGCTGAAATCTTTTTTTCCCCTCTTTCACTTAATTTTATTCAGTAGCTGTTCCTAATTCTTGGAACATGAACCAAAGGCTTAAGTGGGGACAACGCAATTCCTCTACTTGCTCATCAGATTTTGAAGAGCATGGAATGAAATTTTCATTAAATGTATTAGAAAATTTGAGTCTTCCTGCAGCCACGATGTTAATTATCATCCTAAAATCTCTGTTTATAGCCTCCCACATTTTTTCCAATTTTTTTGATAATGAGGCTGATCAAAATTTTTATTTTGAAGTTTTATTGGACTTATTGAAATGTGAGTCAATAGTTTCTTCACCTAATCGTGTAACACGTACGCAAAATACAGCGTCATACCCTTGACTCCGGGGAGCTTACACACCATATCATCAATAGCGTCTTTCTGAAATTGGAGTGCTCTACTGTGAAAAGAAATGAAGATCTCATAAGTGCCGCAGATATGCGCAGCTTAATCTTTTTGTAATATACATACCCAAAATAACAAGCGTTTATACGACAATGTAGTCACAAACGTCAAATTTGTCAACTCAATTAAAAAACTCAAGCGGAATATTTGTAAACTGGCGCGAAAGTAAAAACGTAAAATTACTTACTTTTCAAAGGGCCACCTACGAACATCACAGGCACTTTTTTTGCTTATTCTTGGCACTAATAAAAAGGCAAATATACTACAAAAAACACAAATGTTTAATCAACTCCTCCTTGATATGCGTTCCAGGGGATGCACACTGATCTCCAAACAGGAGCTGCACTGAATGCCAATGACTACAAACGTGCGTGCTAGCACCAGATGTGGGCGAATGTTGAACTTGTTCTACAGGCCACTTCATGCGACCAGAAATAAGAACAATACCAATTTCCTGAATATACTTGGACCTTTCTAATAATCAAACAAATACCCAAACTAACCAATATTATATACTTTTTGCGAAAATTGGGACTTACTTCCGCCTAGTATAGCAAATCACCACTGTGCGCCGTGCCTAGTATGCACATTTCCAGCATTTGTAACACCATTCGCTATTCTCTGACGTTAAAAACTCGCCTTCAAAAAGAATCCTACAGTCCAAACTCAAATTTCCTGAGAAAATAGTGTAGAAATTTAGAATTTACTGTAGCGGCTTATAGCGTAATTATACTTCCAACTTCGCTCCCAAATTTTTCAAGAAAATAGCCATTTAGGGACGACGTTTACTGTTCTTTAGGAAACTGAAAAATTAAGAGAATTTAAAAAAAATTGTATGTTGGATGGCGATAGATGGCATCAGGCAAGAGTATGTGGAAGTTCGAATAGCTATTTGAGACCAAAGGAAATAGAAAACTAATACGGGAAAGTCTGTGCCATTCTATATCACCACAATTTAAAGCATATGATTTGTTATATTGGATTAATATTATTTATACATTTTAATTACTCTGAAGATGAAGGCCAAAAAGTTTTTGAAACGTTGGTCTGCAAAATTTTAAAAATGTTTCAATAAAATGTGTTATACTGTCTGCATTAAGAATCAATGGACCTTTCTGGAATTTAAAAAAAAAATCCATAATCATGTGGTTTGTATCGTTCTCGATACGAGTGACGTGTGAACACTGGATAATGCAGGTGGTGTTTATACATAGGTCATGGTGGTATATTTTACTATGTGAATATCATAACGATGGAAGCTTGTGCATGCGCAGCGGCTCAGAAGTGGGTGTACGAAATAGTTTTTTTTTTACATCGTGCAAAAGTTCTTAATAAGAGCATTGCCGTTTTGCGTTACTAGCCGATATTTAGCGAGGATTTTGCTGACCTACGTATTGTAGAGTGTGCGTATAGATTGCAACGCGGGAAATGTGCGTTCGTAGACTTCATGCAAGTACAGTAAAATCTATACACAGGAAGCCTGGTTTGCGTCAGTGGAATTATATTTTGTTGCCACCCTGCTGCACTTGGTTAGCTTTGTGAGGCGTGGCGTTAGCGAGATTGTCCGGACACTTTCGGGTCGTTTCAGATTTGATAGGAACGGCTACACCGTGATGTGCCTCTTCCTTTCACCCCACAATCTCAGGTCACAAGTTTTCGGAAAATATACGGAAATGACTTTGGAATATGCACAATGTATCTTCGAGAAAATGGAATGTTGGGGGCGCTGGTTGTGGATCTTGCATTCTCATACTTCACATACTCTCCGCCAATGTACGGGGCATGAAATTACTAAAATTGAGCAAAAATGCCATGACTGCCATTTCAAGACTACTTTTCTACTTAGGAAATGAATAAACTAGATCAGAAGTTGCTAGGTTTTGTTTTTTAGTGACAATCGAAGAGGAAGGCTAATTTGCCGTAGAAAAGAAAACGCGGACAGAAACATATGTTTCAGGCTGGAACATACGTTTTTGATGAAGACGTGGGTTTGTAAAATTTCAATGTGATTGCCCTTGTTGGAAATTGTTCTAACGAAAATAAATTAATTGCACACGATGGATTATTGAGGGCCCAAGAACAATGAAAATTAAGTTTTAGAAAGTCATAAATTGATATAATTTTGAAAATATTTTACGGTCATTCCGGATTGGGCTTGACAGCCTCTGAAGAAGTACGCCTATTTGTGCTGGGGAGGAGTTGTGGAGTCTATCGGGTGGTCGGAAGCACTTTTGGGATGTACTTGCGCGTTCATTGAGTGCGGAGTGGCGATCGGGCAGGTGCAGCGGCGCGTTCACGAGCCTCGCGGCCAGATAGCGCGAGGTCATCGGCTCGCCCGGACCAGCTGGGGGCCGCTTCTTGCCGCAGCCAGCCCGGCTGGAATACTAATGGCCCGGGATGGAGGTTTGTTGAACCCCGCGCGTCTGGCTCTCGCCGTGCCTGCTCCGTCCCACCTTCACGGTTTCTCCGCGTTGCCTCATGTGTGCTCGTGCTCGCCACCCTTCGTCGATCGATAATACTCCGGATTATCGCGATTACGCGACGTCCAATAGTGGATAGCTGGCGAATTCCCGTCTTTGAAACAACGGGAAGTTTCAACCAGCCAGGGCAGAAAAAAAAATAGTTCAGAAATTTTAGCTAAGATGTTGTGAACAACGTCGAGGACAAACAAAGTCGAAGAAACCAGCTCTAGGGGATATTCCCTGCGAAGAACAGTTCAATGATCCTCGAGCATCGCAAAGGACCCTCAAAATGTCGTTTCTGAATACACAGCTTATTAGAAAAAAGTTATTAACTACACATAGAACAATTATCCTCTTTCTCAGTATCGGGGACTCGCAAAGAATCGATGGAAAAAGAAAGATTGCTGTTCGCTCTGCATACAGCCACGGTTATTACATGTACATATTGTAATTCTAACATTTTTGCGTGTCGGAGTTCACGAAAACCTTCACAGAATCCTAACATCTACAGATCTTGTAATTATACTTACGATTGCAATTCATGTTCACAATACAATTAGACATCCGGAACTACTGTGACTTAAGATTTGCTTCATTTTCCCGATCGCTAACCTTGTACTTCATGAGTACTGTTTAATGAGCGCATTCAGAAAATAGTGCTTTCTCAGATAAAATTATACCAAAAATGGAATTTCTGCTGTTCCTTTGAAAACGTAATTTCCTTCATATTTGAGTTCTCTCAATTTTTTTTTCCTGCGAATTTAAGCCAGAAAAAAAAATTCATACCCTTATCTTTGGGATCCATGCCGACAGACTTAGTTATAAGGGTAATATTTACTTGTTTGAATTGCTAGAATCCTTAGGGCCTGATATTAGCCTAATGTTGAGTTTCGTAATAGATATTTTGTGAATGTATAAGTTTGTAATTGGGTAGAGATTTTAACTCGCAAATTCTACGTTACGATAGGCGTAGATATTGTTCACTAAGTGAAGTTAGCGAATTGTTTTTCATAAAAACTGGGCTGGTGGCCGATACAGCGATTGCGAACGATTTTGGACAATAGATGTTGTGCGAGCTGGTTCCTGGCAACGAGTGCGGAACAAGTCCTCGCATGTGGATTGGAGGTTGGAGCAAATCGAACCGCTCTTTAAAGAGCGATGGAGCGCGGGCGGTGGCGGTGCGGCTGTTGCCGTGGGCGAGGGCGCGGGCGCCGGGTCGGAGTCGGAGTCGGTTGCCGCGGAAACGGCGCACGGAGGACCATCGCCCCCGGGACGCAGCCCTCGGACGCACGCGCGCACGATCGCAGCTCGCTCGGTGAGTGGCTCCGGGCGAGGAGCCGGGCCCCGCGCCCCCGCGTCCGCCCACGGCTGGGGCCGCCCGCCACACGCGGTATCCGCTACGCTGTACTAGAACTCGGGTCGCAAGTGCGTGAATCTGGTGCTCTATGTTTATTCTGATTAGGAAGAATGAATGCACAGTTCACCTGCGTCAGATGGATTGCAGTTATGGGATGAGCCCAGTCGAGCGTTGTTCTGCTTGCAACGGCTTAACTCCGCATGTACAGTTGAGACCATGAAAATATTCAAAATTATAGTCCAATATGATGTCACATTCAGATCAGTGCTGCTTTTGATTTATTGCTTTTAAATTTTTAGCTTTTTAGCTTCTGCTGATTTTCCTAGAGAAATTACCCTGCAATGTATGATGCGAACTCCGTAACCTAGGAACGCTCTGCTTTATGGCTATTGTCGCAGTTGCTAGTTGTGGTTGATCGTGATAAGGACCGCGGTAATAATGTAAATACAAGATTTTATATCAACCGATTCAGTGTTGGATCAAATAGTGCTTAGAAACTCTGACTTTATTGATAAAAATTGTTTTCATATTATATATATAGTTAAAATGCGTTACGGTATTTGATTTGACAAATAATCGACACAAAAACTATCAAATATCGCCAAATGTTTTTTCTTTTGTCTGCAACTTCAGTGTTAAGCACGGTATAATTGGTATACTCAGGAGCGAGAACTACAATCAGCAAGAATCGATGGATTATTTCCATTAAAACGACTGGTACTGGCAAACTCTTGAGCGTAGTACGGATGCAATATTCTGTGGAATAAGATTTCTCCGACAAGTTTCAGCGTATAGAGGACATTGGACGAGGATGTTCTGTTATGAGACGGTAGTTTGACCTTTGAAGGTGGTGAAGAGGACAGTCAACTGATTATTTATCAGTGATTACCATATGCTGCCTCACTCAAATGGAATCGCTGTTGTCAGGAAAATAGTCGAAATTGAAGGAATTATTTTCCATCCCAGGTTACATTTACAGAAAAGGGGAACTTAATATAATTTTGAGTTAAAGTACTCTCGGAATTGCATATTGGTCTGCCTTCCAGCAACAACAGCATCAGCATATCTTACAGTTCAGTATTCCACCAACAAATATGAGAAGTGTGAACGCAAGAATAATGCATACTGGGTGAAACTTTCCTCGTTTACCTAAACACCTGAGTTATGAGTTGCGCCACTATTGCAGCCGATGAACGATAAGTTGTAAGTTTTTAAACCCAAAATTTTTATTTCGTTATAAAAATGCACAAGTACGATTATCAAGTGAACGCAGTTTTGGATTGCCGAATTTGTGTTATATTATTAGCTTAAAAAGATCACTTTTCGCATATCATGCACTACGTAATGAAATTTACAAGTGAAGGCCGAAATGTATTAATATGGACAGAAATTGCTGTATAATATTACGTAACCGTGTTGCAGCAGCACTTTTGCATTTTTTATTTTCTTATTTTTGGCAACAATGATAGCCATCACACTCGCATATTACACATTCTGTTACAAATTGTCTCCCCAAAAATATTCACTGAAACATAAAGTACATGTTGTTTTCAAATTTCTGAGAGTGACCATCGAGTTCCCTCGTTTGTGCGATGGCCTATCTCTTCGAAGTACAACTAGTCAGCGGCAATCAATATTTCTCGGAACTTGCGATTTAAGTTAAAAATCACGCCGATACTTTCCACTCGGAGGTAATACAGAATTTTCAGCGTTGTTGCGGCTGCTGATTGAACATTTTTTAAATAGAAGAAATGACCAAAGGTTCTCGTGTGTTATATTCGGCAAGAACAGATCGTAATTTCCATTTTCACTTTGACATTTTGCCGAAGTAAAATTTGACCTCGTCTGACTGAACAAATAGAAGAAAAAAAAGTGCGTTCTGGGGATAACCCAAAAGACGGCCTCTTTACGCGGGGCTCCGCGGGTCATCACTGCATTCTGAATTTCTGCAAGAAAAATATTTTTTTATAATTAAAACCCTTTCCCCCAAAATGATTTGCTACAGTAATTTCAGGAAAATTTATACTTTTTTAATGTGTTAAATATCTGCAAAATGCGTATTTAGAAGAAAATGTAAAAATACAAAATTTGAATGTTTAAATTGCAACGATTCGCAAAGATCAATTTTGAGACGTGCATTTCGAAAGACAACACATGTGGTTGCATAAGAATCTTGACTCTCATTGGGGATTTTTTAATTAAAAAAAAAAAAAAAAACTCCCAACTACAGATGTTCAAATGTTTGAAGTCACTTCTGCAAACTTATTTCCACCTGCGGGACATTCCCATAATAAAACGCCCTTGTCCTCTGCTTCTGCACATCCGCGATGTAAGATAATCCCCCCCACACACACACAAGTTATCAAATTCTAGTATGAAATTGAACGTGTCATCCTTTAAATTGCTCTTTCTCCATAAAACTAGCTCAGGTATGTAATTATGCCAGGAAAGGTCTTAAAAATACTCTACTTACTAATGAGTTTGTGCCAAATATTGATTTATGCCATTGCTGCAGGAAATAAACGGTCACGCGGAATAAAGGATTCTCTTTAAAACGTGCCGCAACGATGTACCGGTTTTCTCTGGAAATGTCGCTTCCCGCACTGTCATGGGATGGACTGCCGTCGTAAGCAGCTCGCCTTACCACTTCCCATTGTGGTGCGCCGGGTTGATTACTTATTCCGCGGAGCGCGAGCGCGTCACGCGTGTGGCGGCTGCCCACTGGTACGACGCGCCTCACCAGTCTGCCACTGGCTGCGCGTCGGCGCCGAGCCCGATCCTGGGAGAGGGGGTAGGAGGGCGAGGGGTGGGCCCGGAAGAGCGCATGACGTGTGTTCCGGAGAGCGGTTGTGTGGAAGAGGACTGCGCTCTCTGCGTACTGGGGAGGTGACTGTTGTCCTCCGTTGCCAGTGTCTGGCGCATGCCAGACTGAGGGTGGTGGCGTCGGTGACTAGCACGTGGGCGCCAGGGCGTTGACCCTCGCGCCGCGTGTGTAGGGATTGTCGGAGGGGCTTCCTTGAACTCGCACCCATTTTGTTGCGTTGTCTGAAACTCTTCGATTTGTGTTGAATTTGTCACATTTGCGTCTGATGCAGATGGCACTCGGCACAATACCGACTGACCTTTGGCTTTTGTTCACGTCGATCTTGAAGATTACGAAGCCAGCCTTTTATACGTCTTCCTGGGTTGGCTGCCAAAATGTACGAAATATTGAGACGTTGATTCCTCTCCCGAAAATATTTTGCGCAATGCCGTATTTCGAACATATAAAATATTATTAAGAAACTAGACCCAAGCTCGTATTGACGCAAATATTAACCGGAAAGTTTCCTAATGAGGTATCAAAAGGGAAGAAAAAATCATTTCAATTTAGTTTGCAACGAATTCTTAAGATATTGTTGGCTTTTAAACGTTCACTAAATATATATAAAATAAATGTTTGATGTATTGTGCTCTGATGTGATTTTGAAAAGACCGTTTTGAAATATCTCAAATCAATCGTAGCTGTATTCCTGAAAAATTATCGCTTTTGTCTTTTTGTGTTGATCCATCTCGTTACAGAACAGACTTAGCAATCTATTGTTACTTACTCTTAGGACATCATTTTATTCAATAATTGACGTGCCTGACACATGTTTAACATAGTTAAATGTACGTCATGAAATCCATTCCTGGTTAATCTCTTTATTTTGTACGTTCTTTGTTCGTCAAATACTAGTATGCATTAGTACCATTCGAGGTTCTTCCCTTTCCTGATAAGTCACTGCCAGCTACGCTAGTCGTGTGGCTGCATCGGTAAACTTCCTTATATAGGGAAGTTTAGTACTTTGTATAGTACAGTATCGTTTATGAAGATATTTTCTACGCTTCGAAAAATGTTTGTTTGTAAATCGCACCAAATAGACTGCGATTTTCGCAACTCTGCCCCTGGTAGGTATCAGCTGTTGACGATTTCATCCAATCGGGAGCGTTTTAACGTCACCATTGTGACGTCACTGCAACAGCATAAATCGCAGTATAGATGGAATTGTCAAACATTTAGCAGGTGTACCGCCATTCCAAATACATGTCCGTGTGGTTTTCCAATAATCTGTGTGGAGTGGCTGGTGGAAGTGCCCAGGGGCATTGGTTATAATTGGCCGAGGAAAGGAGTGGGCGCGGCACGCGTGCGCAAGCGGCCTTGCCGAATCGTCAGCTGAGCGCTGTTGACTGCACTCTCCTCTGTCGCCCTCTTGCCGTCATCTCGAGAGGCGCCGATCAGGGAAAAAGCCGATTGGACGTCGGCCAGCACCACGCTCGCTGAGAAGCCTCGGCACGGGCTGAACGTCTCACTTTTTGAAGTCGTAGAGCTGCGGGGTTATTTATTGCAAGGAGAATTTGTGAAGTTAATTTTGAATTAAGCAAAGCGCTTTAATTAAATACATTGCTTGCATGAAACTCTAGTTCATAGTTTGTTCAAGAAGGCCTAGCTACTATTACTAAGTTTTATGGGCTGTAATGGGAGTTGTTATATCGTACAATGTGAGCTCAATAACGTCAGTATGGATAGCATCAGAGGTTGACAATCGACAACAATCAAAATAACTATGTCGATGAATTTCCTTCGTGTGTTGCGTGCCGTGAAACTAGTGGGTGATTGAAAATTTTCGATGAATGCAGTATACAAACTGTCATTGTTATGAGTGCTAAGTTTGTGACAATGTTCCCTAGTTACAATAAGCAAAAGGTTGTGCGTTTAAATCCTTTAGAGTACGATTATGAACTTTTTTTAAAATACATTTTTGTGTCATCATTGCCACCCCTTGGAAGCGCCCTTGGCATGTGGTTGAAGGAATTGTCGCCCAGGGAAAGGGTAAGGTGCGTTGGAAGGCTTGACGTATGGAAGTTTATTAGTGGCTGTGGTTGCGCTCTCGGCGCAGTGTGCCGAGCACCAGCTTCCCCTCCCCCTCCGTCCCCGTCCCCGTCCCCCGTTCGTTCTGACGGTCGGTCGATCTCGCTCGCGCCTGGCTTTTAAAGCGGACGGCCCCCGCTCCAGCGTCGCTGCAAGGCCGCCGCGCGCTGACGTCACGCCGGGACCCGCGACCCGCCCTGTGCGCGCGTGGCGCCTGGCGGGCGGAGCGAGGTTTCGGGCGAAGCGGAAATGCGAGGCGTTCTTTGAAGGTCGTTTGAGCAGCTTCTTCAGCATGGGACGTTGAAGGTTACCATGAACACTTGTTAGTCTCAGACATGCGAATTTTGTTTCAATGCAGTATTAAGTCTCCGTACGAAGTACTTTTGTATCCCTTCACTAAAGTTGGTTTTCCAACATATCTGAAATTGTGTGCATTTTTTTAAACTCTTTATTGTGTGTCAAATTGGAGATAAAAAACTTGAAACATATACTGCGACATTCGCAACATATACTGCGACATTCGCAACACTGCCCCTGGCAGGTATCAAGTGGTTTCATCCAATCGGGAGCTTGAACGTCACCATAGGGACGTCACAGTAGTGACGTTCCAGCTCCCGATTGGATGAAACCGTAAACAGCTGAATTGCAAATCGCAATATAGTTCTTGGGATAAAATAAATCCTTTGGCCAAGTAAGGTTTATACTTGGCATTTGTGAAAATGGCTTGATTTTATATACTGTTAATGGTAGATCGTCTAAAATTGCTCCCTCGACGGAAGCGCGTGTATGAAGCAGAGGGCGTGGACCCGGCGGGCGGGCGGGCGCGCGTCACGTGCGTCTGGCGGAACAGCGCCTCTGGACCGTCGCCCGCGGCAGAATGGCGCGACGGCAGGGGTAGTCGCCCGCACAGGCCAACGCTCCTGCCTAGGATGCGACGGTTGCGCACGCTGTTGGTTTGTGGTCTGTCTTTAATTACGGACACCTTCAGTTGCTGGGAAATGCAAGAATTTTAAGATTTCAACCTCCTTCTGATGATGTAGATTTAATGAGTATTTAAGTTCTAGTTTGCAAGTCATATGCTTAGCTTTTTTTTCAATTTTCAGGTATTGTTTCACGTCTGAAGTAACATCAGTTGGCCAAGTTCTTTTAAAAACGGGAGAAAACAAATTCATTTCACGACGCAAAAGAATGGTTAAATGCTCGGTTCCAGCGCAAACAAATTAAGATGTACAGTGACCACTGCGAACCGATAGCAAGCTGCGCTACCCTTCCATGTCGAACCCAGTCCTCGCAAAACCAGAATACAAAGAAAAGTAGTTAAAGTACAGGCAGAATCGTCTCGCAAAAGCAAAGGTGTTTTCAAACCGAGATCGCGGGTCAGCAGTGTTTTCTATTTACATGGAGTTCAGTTCCAAGCAGTTTCGGAAACACTTTAGCGAGTGAATGTAATCGAAAATAGTAATTTCTAATTAGTGCAAAGATTGAAAGAAAAATGTGCCACGTCTGGCCGTGTGAGAAAGGTTTATTGTGTGATTTAAATATTATAAGACCCCCAACTTTCTGAGGGGGACACTGCCATCCATTCAGGAGCTTATGCGATTTCGTTGGATACTCCAACTAAGGAACTCGGAATAATTCAGAAAACAATGAAACAATGTAGAATTCGCCATTTGGAACAATGCAAATGTTTATTTGTTGTTCGTAAGTAGCGCGCATGTTACGGTTTGGAAAACTGTCTGCCGTTTGCAGTGTTTGTCATCTACAAATTTTTTGAGAGCTCTCTCCCCCTTTTTTTTTTCTCGAAATTTCTCGAGGTATCAGAACCGATGGCGCATTTAAAAAGCTTTATAAGCGCCATCTATCCGAAGGGGGTAACACGCTAGTATGAACTTAGTCTCTGGATTGAGTCTTTATTTTTTTCTTGAATATAAAGCATAATGCACTGAATTAATTTTTTCATTAAACCTAACGAATTTTATTTGGTGCAACAGAATGGCACACATTCTTGTACTACAGTTTTCTTTTTATATACGTAAGCCGAGAATTCAAGTTTTCTTTTTAGTTTAGTTTAGGTTAGTTTTTCGGCTTTGCCCCACCCTCTTACCAGCTGCTACACGACTGTGCCTAAAAGACCTACTGGGACCTCTTTGGGTATCTACCTCTTCTCAGAGGAGCTTTCTCAGTGTAGAGCTCCTCTCTTCCCGTACACCTCTCAAGCCTATGAATATACTATAACTTTCTACATTTGCCCATAGTATCCCTTGGGATTAAGTCGGTGCATGTATCATTGCTGTGGTTGTAGGAATCTACGGTATCTGGCCATATTAATGTGGCATAGTCTTTATTTGCATTTCACTTTTTTTTAAATTTTCTAGTAGTGTTTTCATTTTAGAAACGACCGTTTTGACATTGCGATTAAGTTCTATTAATATGTTAATTCCCCTTTATTCTTCAGGAACAGGTTCTTTGTGTTGTCATCTCTAAACAGAGGTTAGTTAGAGATTAAAAAATTATCAGAAATACTTCCTTGGAACAAAACGTTAAGATTACGAAAATAAATAAATATACTGCATACGTCGCACTTGGTGCAAAAACATTATCACAACAAAAGGCTGTCATCCATAAAACTACTGTAGCCTCCCACAGGATCAATGTTGCCATTAAAAGATTGTTGCCAGATATTAACAAGAGTTGCCGCTTGTTAAAAATATAAATGAGATACGTAGAAACTTTACCTTAAAAAGATATATTATTACCTTTTTACCTGATACCTTAGGTATACTATATAATTTAAAAAAAAAAATACTGCTGGTGGTCACGATGGACCACTAGACCATGGACTACAGTTCAATTAAACACAGATTGCTCACAGTTGTCTGGCGAATTGTTTATGATGCAAATTTAATACTCGAAGGATTCGGAATGCTCTCCACGCCTCACACTAGCTTGAAAACATTGTTTTACGCGAGTTTCGATCGTTTCAAGCACTTCTAACAAAGGCAATGTGAATATTAACGGCTTAAGATATTGAAAAAAGATTTATTTTTGAAAAATCGAAAGTATCAAAATGACACCGTCATTTCCTTAACGTACGTAACTATGACTCAGTGTATGATTCCGTACGTACGGAACGTACTCGTATATACGTACGTATACGGGAGAGTTAAAAAAATTGTCTCTGTTGAGGCGTAGTTTCCTTAGGTTTTCTATGGGGAGATAGAGTGGAAATAGAATTTTATATTATATAACCGTTAACATTTATATAAGACTGTGTTTTTTTTAGCGGCACAACATACTGTACTAAATTATTCTCCTTGATTGTGGAGCTCGCAGAGTTCAAATATCTGTAACTGTATGTTGTAAAGGTGGATTGGCTGAATTTATCTAGAACCAGTCTAAGAGGTTTCCTCTGTAATTAGCTTCTCAAGGAGTTTTGATACGCGATGTGGAACTAATTGCTGTTGGTGTGAACGTCAACCTCTGGTCTTGTATAAAATGTTTCTTTTACACCAGTTTGCTACCCAGTAAAAGATAAAATTAATCTCATTGAAGTAATGAATTAGAAGTTACATGGCATTTTGTAATTTGCATAGTGTGGTACTCGTACTATTATAAAATACTCGAATGAGTATTTTATAAACCAGATTAATGTATATTTCTGCACGTTGGCCTGCCTCCGTACAAATAAGTAGATCGAGTTGTACTTTCATTTATCAATACCAACACAATAGAGTAGAGGCACTATTGTGTTATTGCTGATGCTTGAAATCACTTCCCTGTGCGTGTTAGAAGTAATCCCATCTCAACTATCTCTTAAGGTCAAGAAACCTATGCCATTGGGTGCAATAATAAAGGATATGATTAAGTTCTCGAGGAACAGGGTTCGCCTCAGTGTGTGTTGTCAACGAAAATGTGTGAACAGAATGTGCCAATTACTCGGGAATAATTATTTCTGATTGCAGTGGGCACAGGTAACTCAGACAATATGCGATTAAGTACCCTCTTAAAACGGTGATCAATTTATAATGGTATTTGTTTCGAAGCCAACAATTACTTAGTTCAGTGGCAGAACTGACGAAACGTGGAAACGGTGGTAAATATTTTCTTAAAAATGCTTGCAGAACCTACAAATTTGTTTTTAAAACAAATACATTCTTGTACAAAACTCAGTATTTAAACTGCACATTCTTTCTTGTATTGTTTGTATATGTTGCATAATATATTACTCGCAATGTTTTCTATCCCGCAAAACTATTTTCCCCGAACGGTACTCGACAGTTCAACTCGAACAGTCACATACGTTCTCAGATAAACGCAGATAAATACAGGTTTGCGTGTTTGCATCAAAAATAAAGTTCAATTTTACCAATAATCGAAATATCAAGATGTTTGAATGAAAATTGGTCCTACGTTAATTTTATAAGTGTTCGTGGTGTGTTGCTTCAAAGAAACTTATGCAGGCCGGACAAAATATTAAAAATTAAGAATGTTAAACACAAAAATGATTCATTTAAGTAAACTGCTATTACGCAGTTTGTTTACAAATATTTGTACATAATTTACTCACAAAATTTAAAAAAAAAGATTAAACGCGGCCCGTTTGTTGACCATGGCTGGCCTTTTTACCATACATGGAATTTTTTATGAAAGTTGGTATTAGCATATGTCTGTGTTCCTGGAATTTTCTTCGGGTAGGGGTTACATGAAGTCCTTTGGACATTTTCCGCAATTTTCTTAAGGATATAAAATATTTTCTTTACGTTTGTTTTCCTAGAAAAGAGTGGAAGAAAACGTTAAAAAAGGACGATCATAATTGCGCTGCTCAGATTTCCAATAAAAAAATTGAATCTTTTTAATCTTTTTTTAAAAATAAGTTTTCACTATATTTTAGTGAAATTGTGGCAATTTTAAAAGCTATTCGTGTAAAGAAAATAAGTTTTCCATTCGCGATAAAATCGAGACAGAGTTAAGCATTACCACAATATTGAAAGCTTCGTAAGTAAAATACAAGCTTTATTCTGTACTATTAAAAAATCCTTTAAAAAATCGAGCGTTGGAATGGAACAGACTCCAACTGAAATGCGTTGTAAAGCGTCGAATTTTCAGATTCTTTTGACATAAAAATTAATGCTCGCGTGGCATGAAATGCATTGCACAAACTCTGTACGTTGTATACTTATGCAATATCCCCTGACGTACGAATTAGCCGTTCCATTTCCTTCGGGGTATGACAGGTTCATTCTCATTGGGTAAGATAGGGTTCGTAAACTAGGTTTATCATGTTTTTTTTTCTTGGCCTTACGTGTGCATTTGCCTTCTCTGAAATAAAATACGCTTGTATTATTTATACTTTATCCTCTATGCATCCATAATCAGAAAGGAAACGTCGCAAATCTCCTGAAAAAGAATCATATCGATCAAGCCGATATCAGATAGAAACGCTTTTATAACGACTGTGAAAATATAGAAAAATCATCGGCGTTTAAAGTTAGGTGGATTGCAGAGCATTAAGCCCAAGGTAGCCCAATGAAAAATCCGCAATTGTGAGACTCTTCCAAATTTAAAAACACCTGTCTGTGATTGACAAAAACAACGAAATCGTGGCACAAGTTATATTATTCCGTGCGTCTCTCTTAAGCACTTCAAAAAGAATGTCCACTTTATTCGTTTCGGTTAAAGTTCTTCGGTCTAGTAATAATTCTTGCAAGACTAGTCGGTAATACTATAATACTCTCCAATAACGCAGAAACACTGTTAATGTCTTTTACACGTGTGATTGACGAGCTAACGAACGAAAATCGAAGCTTTTAACTAGCTTTCCATGGTACATCTCGAAAGACGCCGCCGCCTGCCAAACCCACGCGGCGCCTCTTCTGGAGCAGACCGCCCCGCGCAGAATGCGAAGGCGCGCCTGGTCCGTGACCCTGTCACTGGACGCTCCCCCGCCCCTTGTCGCTGCTGCGTCTTTTCATGGGCGATATTTCGTCGGCGCTGTCTTCTCGGCGGCTGGTTTTTTTGTCTCGTCTCTTGGATGGTCGCCAGGTTGAATGAACACGGCGCTGTAAAAAAACAAAAAAGTGAAAACATTTTAGCGGAAATCGGTGCTTTATTTGTATCCTGCTGGTCATCTTTCTGCCCACCTAACATTAATTTGTTTTCACTTATTTGCCTTTCAGTTTTGGAATGGATGCGTGGAAGTTTTGTTTCCTATCTGTGTTTAGTCTGAGGATACACCTGTGGTCATGTTCACAAACAGATACAATATCCATATAGTATATATAATGTCATCTTCACTATTTTGATTTGCTCTCAACACCTTAGGAATTTTAATGTTTCCCATATTTTGCAATGTGTCAGACGTTAAAAATAGTCGGGACAACTCCTTGAAATACTTCACCTAATATGACAGACGGATCAGTTATTATACGCATTATTTTCGGATTTGTAATCAGGATTCTGAGCAGCTGTATGATCTATAAATAAACGATGGTTTTGAAGAGCAGAGCAGTCTAGAGTTCCTTTTGAATGTTCTGCAACCCGGAAGAATTACACGGCACTATTTTGGGCTCGTACGTATATTCGACTGTGAAGGCGCAACGATGCATTTGCGAGTTCTTCCCACGGAGGGGGGGGGGGGGC